TGTGTGTGTGTGTTTTGGAGACAGGATTTCTCTGGGTAGCCCTTACTGTCATGGAACTCATGCTGTAGACCAGGCTAGCCTCGAACTCACAGATCTGCCTGCCTCTACCTCCCTAGTGCTGGAAGGCATGTACCACCACTGCCCGTCATGTTTTGTGTTTTTGAGACAGAATCTCACTATGTAGCTCAGGTTGGCCTCAAACTCACCATCCTCCTCTCAGTACCGGGATTACATGTGTGAAGTACCACCTGGCCAGGGTGGTGGTAGGTAGTTACTGAAATGCCCCTTTACAGATGCACACAGCTTGTGAGGCGGACAAATAGGGAGCTGCTCAGAGAACAAGACTCCTGCATAACCTGCAGAGAGGCCACAAAGTCAGTGCACAGACTGAGAGACAAAGGGGTACAGGCAGACAGGTCACAAAGATACCTAGTAATGAGACAAGTGATTCTAGCTAGACAGACTCAGGACCCCTCCAGGTCATAAAACCCTTCTCTTTCAGCTCACCTGTTCTCCTGGACCAGCCCTACCCGAAGGCTGGGGCCCAAAACCAGGCCCTAAGAGGATAGGCCCCAATCTGCCCTGGCCCCAGAAAAGCCACCCCATCTCCCATCCCCCCTTCCCGGGCCTGGTGGGGCCTGGCTTTGGGGCAAGATTGAGCCACAGGGGAAGGGGGAACCCACACCTGCTGCTGTTTCCTCTGACTTGGCTAACTCTATTCCCCCTGAACCCCTAACCATATCCTGAAGAACTCCCAGAGCTTGAGACCAGGGCCATTCGGCCCCAACTTCCTGCCTGGCCCTGCTGTTGCAAGTCTGTGTTATTTATTATCTGGAGGCCTGCTCCATCCTGTTCCAGCCCTCCATAAAGCATTGTTTACACCTGTGTTTTGGCCTCTGTCATTCTGAGATGCGGTGACCGAAGCGGTCCTTGATGGAAGTAATCTGTTTCTGGTGGGACTTGAGTTGTGAATGTATTGGGATACACACTTACTGAGGCCAGAGTTATGTCTGTCCTTTTTTGTTTTTTTCCTAAACCCCCTCCCCCCCTTATTTTTTTGGACATAGGGCCTTGTTATAGCCCAGACTACGCTGGAATTTTAAGTGTCCATGCCTAGCTTGTGTACATACTTCAATGGCAGCACATGATCGATGGAAGCTGGTGTGTGCAGCAGTGACATCCCTGTGTGTGTCTTTCCAGGATTAGTGGATGGGGCAGTGTCAGCAGGGATGTGTGATCATGAGTGGTCTCTGTCCTGGTGATTGTGTTGTGAGACTTCACTGTGTGCAACAAGACCAAGGAGTTGGGGACTAAAGGGAACCTCAATTCTGGGCCTTGTTCAACTCCTGTATCTGTTCCTGAGAACATGTGCTCCTGAGATTTGTGTGTGCTTCAGCATAGACCTGTTTCTTCCTCTGTGTGTGTGTGTGTGTGTGTGTGTGTGTGAACATAAACCTCCTCTGTGTGCCACTGTGGGTTTTTTTTTTGTGCAACCTGGACTCCTGGTCATACTTGGTGCTAATGTGTATCTCCTTGTGCCCTGAAATCTTTTAAATTTTTTTTATTTTTCCATTCAAAAATTTATACTTCCCTCCTCCCAGTCCCCTCCCACTCCCCCACTCATCCTCCTCACTCCTCCCTACTTGAGTCCAAGGCCCTCCCCTCTACATCCAGGCTTAGGAAGCTGTGCATCCATATAGACTAGCATCCCAAAAAGCCAGAACATGCTGTAAAAACAAGTCCCAGTGCCTTTATCAAAGGTTTCTCAGTCAGCCCCCATTGTCAGCCACAATCAGAGAGTCCAGTTTGATCACATGCTCATTCAGTCCTGGTCCAGCTGGATTTGGTGAGCTCCCATTAGAACAGGCACGCTGTCTCAGTTGGTGGACCAACCCCTCGCCGTCCTGACTTCTTTGCTTGTCTTCTCCCTCCTTCTGCCCTTCAACTGGACTTTGGGAGCTCAGTCCATTGCTCTGATGAGGGTCTCTGTCTATCTCCAACCCTTGCCGGACAAAGATTCTATGGTGATATTCGAGATAAACATCAGTGTGATAGTGGGGCAAGGACAGTTCAGGTATACTCTCCTCTGCTGCCCAAGGACCTAGCTGGGGACATCCCTGTGGACACCTGGAATCTCCCCTAGAGCCAAGTCTCTTGCCAACCCTAAAATGGCTCCCTTAATGTAGACATCTTCTTCCCTGCTCCTATATCCACCCTTCCTCTATCTCCACCTTCCCACTCCCCCAAGCTCTCGCCAGTCTTTCCCATCTCCCTTCCCTTCCCCCAACCTCACCCCCATCCCTAACCTCACCCCCATGCTCCCAGCTTTTGCCCAGCAATCTTGTTTGCTTCCAATTTCCAGGATGTTCTATATATGTTTTTCTTTGGGTTCACCGTGTTATTTGGCTTCTCTAGCCTTGTGATTTGCATGCAAAATTCAAGATGTCATTTTTTTTTTTTTTTTTACCGCTGAGTAGTACTCTTATGCGTATGTATTCCACACTTTCTTTATCCATTCTTCCATTGAGGGGCATCTAGGTTGTTTCCAGGTTCTCTGCCCAGAAATCTTTATACGGGCATTTGGAGACAGGTGCAGCCCCCCTCAGGATAGCTCAGCTGCTCTCCCAAAATGTCAGCAAGGCATTGATTGCCCGCTTGGTAGGCCCAAGAGTTGGTGGAAGGGGTGGGGCATTCAAGTAACCCTATCCACATAGGAACGGTGGCTTCAGTGTTTTGTGTAGCTTAGTGGTGGAGCGGTTGCATTTTATGTGCAAAGCTCTGGATTAGTTCCCAGTACTGCATAAACAACAACAAAAATCTTCCTGGACTACCGAGGAGTCCTGTTTTGCAAATGTCTTCTTTACGAGGCTGTCCCAGGTAGCTTTAATCTGGCTCCCACGTTGCCCCCGAGGAAGCAGTACGGAGAGGGTCATGCAAATAGTACATATTTGCTCATTTGTTCTACCTGACTTCGCTTCTCTAGGGACATCCCATACTCACCGTTATTTTTTTAAGTGCTTATGTAAATTACTGACGTAGGAATTTACATACACTTTCCAACTAACTGCGCAGTCATTTCTCAATATCCTCTTGGATTATGTGGTGGAGCTGCCTATGCAAATGATACATTTGCATAGCAAATACCAACAGCCCAGCCACTAGCCGTTTCCTGGCACTTTCTGCTCCTCGGGGTGGACTTTTCTATGTGAAATGCCTCATTTGCACCACCCACCCCTTCCCGGGACCAGTCTTAAAAACTCACAGAACGCCTTTTTCTGAATCTGCGTTCCTACTTTCGCGTGGAAGGGGCGGGCACACAATGCAAATGAGCCTCGCGCCCCGGACCAGCTCACTCTTCACCCGTAGGGTGTTCTAGGGCGCCCGGCAACGTCCTGCTAGCGCATGCGCAGCCTCCTCGGCCGGGCTGCGGTCACGTGCCCACCGGGCGAGGCGGGGGCGGGGCGTCGCGGGCGGTGGGGGGCGGGGTATGGCGCGCTGTGAGGCGCAGGGCGGCTGGCACAAACGGCGGCGCCGAGGCCGGAGGAAAAAGCTCGGTGAGGAGGTCGCGCGAAGGGAAGGACCTGGGGAGGAGAAGGAGCCCAGAGGTCGGGCGGCCGGGTGCGGACGGCCGGGCGGGAGGCGGGAGGCGGGGCGCGGGCGGCGGCGACCCCGCGCTGGGCGGGTGGGGGTGGGGAGGGAAGCGCGCGCCCGGCGCGGCGGGGCGGACCATTGAGGGCGGCGGGAGCGCGCGGCCGCCACCGAGGGGAGGGGCCGGGCCGGTGCGGCCCCGCCTCAGTCGCCCGCGGCGTCCGGCGGCCCCTGGGCCGCTGCGGAGGGGGTTGGGAGGGAGGCCGTTGGGTCCGACCCTCCTCCCGGTCTCCCTTCCGTCTGTCCGTCTGTCTGGCAGGACCTCCCTTCCGTCTGGGTGTGTGTCGGGCCCCAGTAGGCTTCCTCCCGTAGGGCACAGGTCGACCCCACCGGCCCTCCCGCTCCCCTGCAGTCTTGTTTTCCTCCCTGTTCTCTTTGTCCCTGGACACCCGGTGTTCCCCGCCTGCCCTGGCTCGTGGCCTTCCACTCAGGCGATCCGGTTCCCGCAAACGTTGCGCGGTGGCAGTGCCCGCCGGCTCCCCACAAGCCCGACTTTATCCTAGATTCCTCACTCCCGTTTTCTGTGTCATTCTCTGAGTCTCTATGGACCCCTCAGGCAGGTACCCGTTTCCCACTTCTCGCTGTTGCTTTTCTTCCTCAGATCTCTTAGAGTATTCATTTATTGCTGTCCTCTTATTGGGCCTCCCATGCAGCCTTTTCCCTCTGCACTTTCCCAATATTACTCTGCCAGTCTTTCCCTCTCTAATTCCCAAGTTCTGCGCCCCATCTTGCCTCAGTGTGTGTGTGTTCGCTGTGAATGTGTCTGTCATCTGCTTACTGCTGGTACCATTCCCAGCCCTTCCTACCTGCTTGTCTCTAACTCCTCTTAAGTCCTTCTTTTTCTCTTTTCCAGCCACCCCCACCAGTCCCTTCTCAAGCTCCTAGGGACAACTGTGGACTTGGGGACCAGTGAGCACCCCCGGGGCACTAGAGGAGCCCCTGCTGCCTGCCCTGCCTCACCCTGCCCCACACCAGGCCCAGCGGCCCCCGGCTGCATCAAGTGGAGGAGGAGAAGGCGGAGGAGGGTGGCACCATGGGCCCGGGCCGTACCCTCCATGCCCGGGGGATGAAGACACTGCTGCCATGGACAGCCCGTGCCAGCCGCAGGCCCTGAATCAGGCTCTCCCTCAGTTGCCAGGGTCTGTGTCAGAGGCCTTGGAGCCTAGCCGCGCCAGGATGGGGGTGGAGAGTTACCTGCCCTGCCCCCTGCTACCCTCCTACCACCGTCCAGGATCATCTGGTGAGGCCTCGGCTGGCAATGGGACCCCCAGAACCACAGCCACTGCTACCACTACCACTGCCAGCCCCCTTCGGGAGGGCTTTGGTGGGCAGGATGGTGGTGAGCTGTGGCCACTGCAGAGTGAAGGTGCTGCTGCGCTGGTCACCAAGGAGTGCCAGCGACTGGCGGCCCAGGGTGCCCGGCCTGAGGCCCCCAAAAGGAAGTGGGCCAAGGATGGTGGGGATGCCCCTCTACCCAGCAAGCGACCATGGGCCAGGCAAGAGAACCAGGAAGCCAAGGGGGAAAGTGGTGTGGGCTGTGACAGCGGTGGCGGCGGCAGCAGCAGCAGCAGCAACACTAACAGTAGCAGTGGCGAGGCAAGTGCTAGGCTGAGGGAGGAAGCACAACCCTCTGCACCCGAGCGCCTGGCCCTGGACTACATTGTGCCTTGCATGCGGTACTATGGTATCTGCGTCAAGGACAACTTCTTGGGGGCAACACTGGGTGGCCGTGTGCTGGCGGAGGTGGAAGCCCTGAAGTGGGGCGGGCGTCTGCGTGATGGGCAACTAGTGAGCCAGCGGGCGATACCACCGCGCAGCATTCGTGGGGACCAGATTGCCTGGGTAGAAGGCCACGAGCCAAGCTGCAGGAGCATTGGTGCCCTCATGGCTCATGTGGACACAGTAATCCGCCACTGTGCGGGGCGGCTGGGCAACTACGTCATCAATGGCCGCACCAAGGTAAGGCACTTTTTCGGTGAGTGCCTAGTACTTTGGCATGTGGGTTTGGAGATAAGTCTGGGGTTATGTAGCAGAGCGTAGGCAGCTCCACCAGAAGGGCTACAGTTACCTGCGGGGCCTTGTGTCTCTTCCTCCCACTGGGCTTTTATTTTCTTTTTTTTAAATTTTATTTTTTGTTTTTTTGTTTTGTTTTCCTTGAGACGGGGATTATCTGTGTAACAGTTCTGGCTGTTACGGAACTCCCTCTGTATACCAAGCTGGCCTGGAATTCAGTGATCTGCCTGCCTCTGCCTCTTGAGTGCTGGAATTAAAGGTGTGCACCACCACCGCCTAGCTGGGCTTTGATTTTTGTACCTGTTCAGCCTAGGGTGGCAGAGGTCTTTGCCCTTGGAAGACCAGGAGCTGCTGTCTTAATCCCCCTTAGACCAAGGGTAGTTAAGGGTGACAGAAGCTTGTTCCACCAGAAGGTGAAGGGAAGTGGCAGTGTTGGGGTAGCCTAGGCTGAAGATGGGGTGTGCTGCCTGTCTAGTTGAGCACCTGGGCTCCATTCTGCCCTGTGAGCCTACTCTTGGCATCTGCATCAAGAGCAGCTTCCTGGAGGTGACACTGGGTGACAGTGCCGGCCCAAGTAGAACACTTGTCCACATGTTTCTCACACCTCCCTGCCCTTAGTCCCTTTCTTTATCCTCTGGCCGTCTGCCACTTCCTGCCTGCTTTTCTCCGGTCTCTTTCTTTGACCCTCTGCGTTTATAGTTTTCTCCATTCCTTTTTCGTGTTGCAGAACAGTAGATCCTAATGTCTTTGGAGCCAAGGCTTTTCAGATAATCTGCCCACAGCCATAGACCTTTTCAGGAAAGGTGCACACGTGGTTGGAATATGATGGTAGTTGTCAGGCTGTCCGTTCAAGAACCAGGAGTCAGGAGCCCTGACTAGACTGTGACCTCCGTGGCCTTTCTGGTCTGCTGACATATCCATTCTCTTGCTGGAAGAGTGTGACCCGGAGGCTTGGTGTCATATGGATGCAGTCTGTTGAGAGTGCCTGCTGCTGGCCAGCAGTGGTTCCTGACTGGTGATATTGTAGGCTGTGTTCTGCCCTGTGAGCGGAGGCTGTGCTCCTGATGGTCCCTTCCCTTGTCACTCAGCTTCTATCTTGGTTTCTACTTCAGTACAGCCTTCTTTCCAGGCTGAAACTGGGTTGGGGATCAGGGTTGCCCCCCACCCCTCCCCCTTCTCCCTGGGGCCCAGGCCTGTTGCCTCCCCACCCCAAGTGGAACTTGTCCTACTTCCCTCTCCCTCCTGTTACTTGATAGCTGAAGAGCCAGAACTGGTCCCTCCCTGGGTTTGGCTCCTGTGCAGGCAAGACCAGTGTTGCTTCCTGGGCTCAGCAGTGGCAACTGGTATCCACAGTCCTCATAGGAGGGACGTGGGGGTGGGGGTGGGGGGAAGACCAGGAGAGCTGAGTGCCCAGGAAGTGGGCTATAAACTCTTTAGCCTTAGAGGATGGGAAAGCTGGCTCAGGTGCCTAGCTGCTAGCACTTTGGGAAAGGGTTGAAGGAATAGGTTGTCTCCCCTGCAGTATCTCCTCCTGTCTGGAACCTGAGCTAAGATTGGGAAGGGGGAAGAGTCACAGTGTAAGCTCTGAGTGGCCCTCATGTGGAGGTAAGCACAGGTCCCATCACTCTACATAGCAGCTCCATGCTCTCTCACTTACAGAGGGCAAGGGCCATGTGTAACTTCCCTTCTTGTGCTCTAGAGTGAGTGTGGGGTGTTGAGGTGAGGACACTGACTACCAGTGTGGCCTGACCAGTGTAACCTAGGTCAGCCCTGGGTTACATTACTTCTTCCTTCTAGTCCTCTCTTCTCTGTTGACTTGTAACTGTTGACTTGACTCTCTGGCATCAAGGATGAGCAGAGGGGACCCCAGCGAGGGTCCAGCTTGTTTAGTTTGCTCCTTTAAGAGCAGCTTGGAGGCAAAGCCTGCTGTCTGACTGACTGTCACTGGCTTCTGATGTGGTGTGTGTGGTGGTGGTAGGGTCCTTAGCACATTATTACCAAAAGCAGGAGCATCCTGGAGTGATCCCTTCTCCCTGCTTTTGAAGGGGGAAGGGTGGAGAGTAAATTCCTTTACCACTCTACTGCAGTCCTTGTGATTGAAGCTTTTCCTGGAGGGCATGGTTTCAGAGCAGCACTTCGACACGGCAGGTAGTGCACTGGGTACTCTGACTTCTTGCACAGTCAGCTAGATGCTTGAGTCCAGTCAGTAGCTGCATGGGAAACATGCCCAGATCATGCAGCCCCAAACCTTATAGCTTTGTCTTTTAAGCCTTAAAGTACATCCTGATTGTTGCATTTTACTGATTGTCACAGTTAGCAAAAAGTGGAACTACAGAAGCCAAAAAACAAGGTTAGCACAGTTAGGGACTTTGCTAGAATTATGAACCAAGTCTTTGCTCCCACTGTGGCAGGTATTGGGGGCTATGTGCTGGGTTTTAAGGTCAGAATGGTATCTCCAACATGGCCTCAGTCGTGCTAAGGCACAGCACAGGCAGGAGTATAGGCGTGAAGGTGGGGAGGAGGTAGGTCTGTTGAGGTCGAGAGCAGAGGAAGGGTCAGGCCCTGCAGGGTGGTGGTCTTGGTCCCTATTGTGGGAAGTGTACTTTTCTGGGTGTGTAGTGCTGTGTGGTGATTGATTAAAGGCCGAACAGCACTGCCTGCCCTCCCATCAGTGTGCAGAACCTGCTTGAGCTGTGATTGGACTCCCAGCTAAGGAGGCCTTGCCCCTCTCTAATCAGTGACTCATGATTCCAGGCCACCAGGGCCACAGCCACATTTTTTCCTGCCAGTGAGTGGTTGCTTAGCATGCCATCCCATCTGCAGGAGCAATGCAGAGAAGATTCGTTCTTCTGAGCTTAGAGGCCTGGATTTCCCTCTGGGGCCTTCTCAGTTACTCTGCCCTGGTGCTGAAGCCCTCTACTGCTGTGTAACCTTAGATGGTGGCAGGCTTTCCTGGTCTCTTTGCAAAGGTAGGGTCTGTGGTGGATCAGGTGTATAGATCAAAGGCAGAGGCCTTAGGCATCCACAGTGGGATGAGCTCTGGGATTAATGGGTTGAGAAGAACCTTGGGAGGAGGATATAAGGCTGAATCAGCTGACCTTCATGGAGTGCTGGGTAAGCCTTTTGCTTGGCGGCAGACGGTGATGTGTCTTATTTTGAGTGTTTTTCTTTGCTTGTCTTGCTGAGCTAGACTGGACCCAAAAAGTATAGCTGAGCATTGTCAAGGAGCCCAAACTTGCAGAGTGGTACTTGGATGGTAGGGTCAAGACTGGTGGCTGCTTACTGGGCAAAAACCAAAGGGTTCTCTTGCTAGCTACTCCATTTTGCTTCGTCTGAACTCCCAGTGGTCAACACCCAGAGGGTGGCATTCTTTCCTTTAAGTAGCATTGCAGCTTGTGCTCCTGTTCTCTCTCCTGCGGCTGCAGCACTGTGTCTTTGCAGACATTCATAGTCTAGCTCGGTTCTCACAGCAACCTGAAGTGGGGAACTTAATTTACCTCCCCAGTGCCACAGCTCATTCGGCTACAGACATTTGACCTTGTGGCTTGGGTCTGCAGAAGTGGCTGGGCCTTGTCTTACTTAAGCCCTGACTGCCTGGCTGAGAGGCAGGGGAAAGTAGGGCTCTAGCCAGACCCATACCCACAGAAACCAAGCCCAGCAGGGGCCTGTCTCTGAGATGTTGGAAACACCATGTCTCCGAGGAGGTAATGCTGCAGATGGATGGAAGGTGTTTATCAGCCCCGGTTTACGGTGGGATAGTGGAGGCCTGCTCAGGCACTGGGGCTGCCAGCAGTGTGCAGGATGCCTGGAGCTGGAACTGTAAGTCAGGTTCCTGTCACATGCACGTGTTTGGAGTCTCTGTAGTCAAGAGTAGCAGCTCTCAGCATGAATTATCTGAGGGCACCTTTAAAAAATCCAGGCCGCATCTCCTTCAAGCCCTAACAGAACCTCTGATGTGAGGAGGCCGAGCCTCCATATCTCAGAACTCTGCTCTGCTCTTGCTGGGTAGTTCAAGCTGACCTTGAACCTGTGTCTCTCCTACCTACACCTGCTAAGTGCTGGGATTAGGTGTGCACACCTCTACACCTGCCTAGGGTTAGGATCTTTTCAAAAAGCACAAACCATCATTTATTCATTGAGTCCCTCTGGTTTTGGGCTGGGGATGGAGGTAGGAGAGTGGATTGTTGAACTTGAGGATAGAGTGTGGCTGAATTAGGGAAAAGTCTCTCGGGCTGGAGCTCACATAACCTAAGGCGATCCAGGACAGACCAGGGGCAAGGGGTTCCTCTGGTCTCAGTAAACTACCTTCCTCCATTTCTTACAGGCCATGGTGGCGTGTTACCCAGGCAATGGCCTCGGCTATGTGAGGCATGTTGACAATCCCCACGGCGACGGGCGCTGCATCACCTGTATCTATTACCTGAATCAGAACTGGGATGTTAAGGTAGGGGGTGGGGGCTGGGATGGTATGCTAATATTCCAGCTGGGGTTCTGTCCTCCACTTCTCTCAGCTCACAGGGCTGTAAGGTCTGAGGGCTCCTCTTTAGCTGACTGTGGCCCTCCTTTCCGGGAATGGTGCCATCTGCTTAGCCCCACCCAGACTTGTACACTCCCCCCCTTCCTGTCCTTAGTAGCTTCCTGCCCATCTCCATGGCAATGTAGACTCTGGGCTGTCATTCATTTTAAGCGTCTGAGTGGTAGGAGGGAGTGATGTGTGCTAGCGCTGCGCCCCCTGGTGGGCACATGCATGCAGTATAAGGCAGAGGCTACAGGCTTCACCAGTAGCCTTATCTGGCCTGCCCCTAGGTGCATGGTGGCCTGCTGCAGATCTTCCCTGAGGGTCGACCAGTGGTAGCCAACATCGAGCCACTCTTTGACCGGTTGCTCATTTTCTGGTCTGACCGACGGAACCCACATGAGGTGAAACCAGCCTATGCCACAAGGTATGACCTGTACTTTAGGAATGTGCTCAGCTGCTTCCCCTGTGCCAAAGATTTCTTAGATCTCCCCAACCCTCAGAGTGACAGGGGAGTGATGAGATGCTGAGAGGGCCTAAGTGGGACCCAGAATCAAGTGACGTAAAAGGGTGGATGTGTCACCAGAGGTGGCAGCTAGAACTGCAGAGAACTGATCTGACTGCCTGATTTCCCAGGTACGCCATCACTGTCTGGTATTTTGATGCCAAGGAGCGGGCGGCAGCCAGAGACAAGTATCAGCTAGGTACCTGCTTTCCTCCTTTGCCCTTCCTAGTCCCTGTGTGCTGCCAGGTCACAGTCCTTACCCTTTTTTTCTGGTGCTCAGAGTGGGTACCCAGGGCCTTTGCCACACTAGGCAAGTACTACCAGCCGCTCACACCCACAGCCCTTTTATCAGTCCCTTACACCTGGTTCTCGCCTGCTTTCCTGCTGTCTCCAACCTGAGTCCCACTTTTCTTTTAATGTTCTCCCCTTTGTCCCAGGTTTCTTTTGGTGTCTCTGTCCCTTCCTAGTGATTCACAGTGTCTTTCTTGTCTTCGTCTCCTCCTCAGCATCGGGACAAAAAGGTGTCCAGGTTCCTGTATCACAGCCAACTACACCCACCTAATGGCCAGTCCAGAGCTGCATGGATTAGCAGCTCCCTGCCTTCAGGGGAGCCCCGGGCCCAGCTGCAGCTCACTAGCCTCAGTGCCCGCTCCCCACCTGCCACTGCTGCTGCTTCTGGCTTGCCTCCATACTGCGTGCTGTGGCGGGCATAAGCGTCACTGAGGACCAACAAGGAGAGACCTCTGCTGCCCCGTGTTTGGGGCCGGGTTGTGACTTAGGCAGTGGCCAGTGTGGCTGGTGGCCTATGTCCTGCCATGTCTGGTCCATTGTGTGTTGAGCTGAGAGGAGGCAGGATTTGGGGTTGAGGTGAGTCATGGCCTCTTGCTGGCAAAGGTCTGTTGGGGGGGGCATACTCATACCCCCTCCTCACTCCTCCAGCCTGGAATGTGAAGTGACTCCCCAACCCCATTGGCTGTGGCACTTTATGGACTGGGATGCCATGGCTTGGGCAGACTAAGGTGCCATGAGGAGCATGGGTATGGAGGTCCTGCCAGCCAAGAAATAAAAGTTTACCTCAGAGCTGCACATACTTGTATTCCTCTTTGTAAATAGATTTACACGTACAGTTAGGGCAGCTAAGGAGATCAGGACCACTGAGGTCAGAGTAGTTGAGCCCAACCTCAGCGGGCCACCAGGCGGAGCTGGAAGACTGGTGGCACATTGCCCAGTCCAGTGCACTGTGGAGTAAGGTTGATGTCGGCAGGACTTCCCACAGGGAGCAAGGAGAACTTCTGCAGGATGGCAGTGAGGAAGAGGAAGATCTCAGAGCGGGCCAGCCCAGCCCCCAGGCACATCCGCTTTCCTGTGGATATATGGGTACAGATGTGGGATGAGCGAGCACCTGCCAGTTCCCCAGTGCTAGCCACCTGGGTCCCCTCCCTCTTGTCCAGACCTGGGGCAAAAGGCATGAAGGCATCGTTGTTCTTGAACTCGCCCTGGTCATCCAGGAAATTGGTGGGATTGAAATGATCAGGGTCCTTGAATTGGGTAGGATCCCGGTGCGCAGACACAAGCAGGGGAATCACAAATGTGCCCTGGGGGTACACACAGTTACTGTTACCCACAGACTGAATGTGAGCACCTTACGAAGACCCTTTATATATTTATTTATTTATTTTTGTTTTTTCGAGACAGGGTTTCTCTGTGGTTTTGGAGCCTGTCCTGGAACTAGCTCTGTAGACCAGGCTGGTCTCGAACTCACAGAGATGCACCTGCCTCTGCCTCCCAAGTGCTGGGATTAAAGGCGTGCGCCACCACCGCCCGGCGACCCCTTATATTTTTGTGCTTGGCACCTAACCCAGGGCCTTGCAGGTGCTGGGCAAGTTCTCCCACAGCTACACCCCCGCCCCTGAGACGATATTAATAGCTGGGGAGGGGAGTCCTCACTGAGCCTAATCTCTGAATGGACACTTATGCTCCCTTCTCCCAGTGCAGAATTCTCAGACTCCCTGTGCACCTTGTGCAAGAAATGGTTCCTGAGGTGTGTATCTCGGGTGAGAGCCCGAGGCAGCCCCAGTGGCAGCACGCTGATAAAGCGCTGGATCTCATGCAGCACCGCGTTGGTGTAGGGCAGGCGGGTACGGTCCTCCAGTCTGGGGGTGCGGGTCCGACCTACAGTGGCATCCAGCTCCTCTTGCACCTTGGCTGGGGTCAGCAGAGTCTGTGAGGTGTGCTTTACTAGGTTCCGCCCCAGCTCCCCTCTCATTCATGCTCTGGGGAGGACCCAGCTCCCTGACCTGCCACCTCTGGGTACTTGAGCATTATGAGGAGTCCGTAACGCAGAGTGGTGCTTGTGGTCTCAGTGCCACCGAAGAAAAGATTGTGAGTGGTCATCACCAGAGTCTCATCCTGGAAATGGCTGTCCAGATCCTGCTGTTCCTGCGGATAGAGGGAGACTAATGCCTGCTGCTCGGTGGCAAGGGGAGGGGTTAGGGCAGCAGGAACGTGTACCTTATCCATTTCGTCGAGGAAACGATCAATGAAGTCACGGGGTTCCCCAGCCCGTCGTGACTGCCGGTGCCACCGAATTTGCTCAGCGATGAAGAGTCGGAGCTCTTGGAAGTTTTTGAAGATTCGGTGGTGGGGACCAGGGATCCAGTCCATGAAGGATGGGAACATATTGTATGTCTGGAGAGACAGGGTTCTATTTGTTTGTCTGTGAGATGTATCACTGTGTAGCTAACCTGGATCTCAATCTGTAGACCAGGATGGCCTCAAAGGCACGTGCCACCACCCCCTGCTAAAACAGTCTTTTTTTTTTTAAATATTTATTATGTATACAATATTACAATATTCTGTCTGTGTGTATGCCTGCTGACCAGAAGAGGTCACTAGACCCCATTACAGATGGTTGTGAGCCACCATGTGGTTGCTGGGAATTGAACTCAGGACCTTTGGTAGAGCAGGCAATGCTCTTAACCTCTGAGCCATCTCTCCAGCCCTGCTAAAACAGTCTTAATACAATCTTGGAGAAGGCTGTGGTTTCCCAGTGGGGAGATTAAAAGAGGATTTTATGGATTAGAACTCTGTCATTCAGTCTACAGTCTTGACACTTGCATCTTAGTGAGCTACTGTAGGTAGGGCTGTGTATGCCCCTGGGGGTTGGCATAAGGCTGTTCCTAAAAGGGAAGAATTGGAGCCCATCCTCTCACCTCACCCCATCGGGAACTCATGATGCGGAAATTGTCACTGAAGAGGTCCAGGAGCCTCAGGAACTCCGGGTCCCCATAGTTATAGCGCTTTCCGAAGACCACAGAACAAATGACATTTGACACGGCGTTATCCAATAGCTGCCGGGGATCAAATGGAGCTCCTGGGGTAATAAAACTGTGGCTAGTAAGGAGACCCTCACCCTCAAGCCTCTAAATAAGATGGTTTGATACCTTCACACAAAAGCCGTGGTCCCTTCACCTAGCTCCTTGGAATCTGCCTTGCACCAAAGCATTTTGGTGCTCTGTCAGTCACACCCCTTCGCCCCCACTCCTACCCCCCAACCAGGTACTTCGTCTTTCCCTGCCAGGCCGCACCCATGATGGCTTGAAATTCGTCCAGCACGCATGCCGCCTCCTCCAGGATGCGATCCTCTATGGTCCTCGTTCCTACGCCAAGCTCCCTCAGCACCCCAAGTGCAAAGTTGCGTAGCGTCTTCCAGCGCGGCCCATTAGAAAACACTATGCCTACAGTGGGAACCAAAACTAAAGTTGGCCACGCAGGGTCCAGTCGCTTGCCCCTCTTGGGGACTTCTTAATTGCTTTGCTTTTTTCCCCAGCCCATGTGCTCTGATCCTGCCTTTGCGGGTCGGATCCCTGACCAGCGCTTGCTCTCCAGAGGTTAGGTACTTAGGCTTCTATTGGCTGCGCTGTGAATGTTGATTGAGCCCCAGTTCTTAACGGTTCGCCCTCATTAGCGGCACTCTATTAGGCCCCGCCCATTTTGTCCGGTTGGTCTAGTATTCGCTCCACCCACCCTAGGCCTCACCGTTTCCGTGGGTGAAGCGTTCGAAGACAGCCATGGCCCCACGGCCGGAGAATGCATCCGCCTGCAGCACTAATGCATCCCGCAGTGCCTTGTAGCCGCACAGCACCACTGCAGGGCGCGGGCCCAGCCACACGGTGAACACTGGGCCCCAGTGGCTGGAGAGCTATGGGGAGTGGTGCTCAGAAGTACTCAGTCCAGGCTTGTGATCTCCATGGAGACCTCAGAGCCCTCGTCTTTCTCCGCCCTAAAAGTTTCCGTCTCGGCTCCTCATTTCCCAGGTTCAGGAGTTCTAAATCCCTGCTTCCTTTTCAGACCCAAGAGTCTAGCCCAAGCTCTCAAACACAGGTCTACACCCTAGCCCTCCTCTCTCAGACCTAGAGATCCTGCCACAGCCCTCCTTCCTCAGACTCTGGGTTCCAAGACCCGCTCTCCTCCCTCAGACACAAGGGTCCAGGCCCCACCCTCCTCCCTCAGACACAGGGGTCCAGGCCCCACTTGCTCCCTCCAGTCACAGGAGTCCAGGATCCCTATCCTCTCAGCTGTCGCCTTTCGGTAAACCAGGATTTCTACCCTCTCTTCTGGGCACGATAGCACCTTCACAAATCCAGAGTTCTGCTCTCCCAGCCCACAGCAGGAGCTACCTCCATGAGCACACGGTCCAAGTGTCCAGACTGCAGTTGCAGCAAGTTCCCCAGCAAAGGCAGTGGCTTGGGCCCAGGGGGTAAGCCTCTCTGCAGCTGAGCTCGGCGGACCAGCCAACCCCACCACGCAAGCATCAGCATCAGAACCGGCAGCAGCAGTGCTGCCACGCAGGTGACCATCGTGCCTGAGATCCTTGATGCCTGGATCCCTTGGCCGCGGTTTAATTTGCAGGGAGTTTTAAGGAGGGAGCTGTAGGGTGGAGATCGGTGTGGGAGGGGTGAGAGGCTGGGGCTGCTCTGTTCCCTGCACCTTGCCCCCAGGAATTCTTCCAGTTCTCCTCACATGTGTTCTCCCCCAGGCGTCGTGCTGTGTGTGTGTGTGTGTGTGTGTGTGTACACGCGAGTATGGCCTTCAGCCTGCCATTTTCATGTAGAAACTCAGCCAGGTGCCCAGGTGCTGCATCCTCTCAAGACCCTAGTACCTGTAGTCCTGTGTGTTCTTCTGGACCATACCTCCAAATAACAGACAGGTGTGTATCTCTTGCTTCCTGAATACATTCCCAACTCCTACAGCCACCACGGATATGACTGGCCTGGCATGCCTTGTGCCCTGGGCCCGTGGTTCCTAAAAACTCATACCTGGGACTTTATCGATTCTGTTGCTTTTCTTTCTTCTTTATAAATAACTTTTATTTAATATTATGTTTATGGGTGTTTTGCCTACCTATATGTCTCTGCACCAGATGTATTCCTGGTGCTCAGGGAGGCCAGAGAGGCTCAGATCCCCTGGAACTGGAGTTACAAATGATTGTGAGCTGCTAAGTGGGTGTTGGGAACTGAACACCCACAGTTGGTTGGGTGTGGGTCCTCTGGAAGTGCAGTAAAAGGCAGTAAAAGGTCTTAACCACCTTGTTACTCCCCTCCTCTACTTCCCCTTTTAAAAGATTGTATTTCATCATGTAGTCCAGACTGCTCTGAAATTCATGCTCCTGCTTCAGGCCCTTAAGTGCTGGCTTTAAAGGTGTGCACCTCTATGCTTGGCTTTTTCCATTGCTCCTGGAAGCCTGTATGCTGTTGGTTCCTGTACTTTTCCCCCTTGCTTGCTGCTGTTCCCTAGGCTCTGGTGCCTCCAGCCTTGCAGTTTCTGGGAGACTTTCACATTCATTCTGCTTACTTCTTGCCCCAGAACGTGGGCTGCCTCCATCCCCAGGCTCTGGCTTTCTTTTCAAGGTGCCAAGTCTGTTACTATACCACCTTGTCTCCAGCCCCCCAGAACCCTCAGGAGGAAGCCCTATCTGAGACCAGGCTAAGATAGCAGATGCATATCTCTTTATGAGCCCCTTGCTCTAGGGGCACACATGGAGGGGCCCACTTGAGCCTGCAGCAGCCCTTGGGTGGGGCCAGTCA